GTTATAGCATTAACTCACATTGAACAACACATTAAGGACAGAGATCCTACATGAGGAGTAAGTGTACAGTGACTCTTGTTGTTGACTTAACAAATTGACACTCTTGTTTATGGCATCAGTAATCTCCCTAGGCTCTTGTTATGAGTTGCTAAGGCTATGGAAGCCTTTTGAGTTCTCTGACTTCGATCTTATTTAGACAAGGTCATAGCCAAAGTAGAAGTTCACTCCTCCCTTCAGAGAAAGGTACCTCCTTCTTTGATGGCCCATTCTTTCTACTGGGATCTCACTCGCAGAGATCTTTCATTTATGTCTTTTTTTTTTTTTTTTTTTTTTTTTTTTTTGCCAGAGTGTCTTGGCTTTCCATGCCTGAAATACTTTCACGGGCTTTTCAGCCGGATCCAAATGCCTTAAGGGCTGATTCTGAGGCCAGAGTTGCTGTTTAGGACATCTGCCATTCTGAGTCTGCTGTGTATCCTGCTTCCCATGTTGGATCATTCTCTCCATTTCTTATTCTTTATCTTTTTTAAATATTTCATTTAATTTTCCTTATTTTATAATCCTATCTTGATTTTACATTGTTGTAGTAACATTCTACTGAAGGGAAAAGTTTTCCTCATCAGCTGGATGTATTAATAATTCCCAAACTATGGTTCCTAATCAAAAAACAAGAAGGTAAGATCAATACTTCATAACAAGAACTACTATTTCATTTTTCTCAAATGGCCACAGCCCAAGCACCATGACTCCCAAGAACAGAGTATCTTGTCTGATGAAAGAATAGAATGATTATGTTCTTTTACCCAGTAATTTCATCTCTAGGAATTTATTCTAAGGAAATAAAACAAATAGACCACAAAGACATCAGCACATAATGTTCTTCCCAGGGTTTCTTAAAATAGCAACCAATCAACAAATAAGCAGGAAAACAACAGGGGAAAAATTCAAATCTCTATCAGAAAACAATCGGCCGGCGCCATGGCTCAATAGGCTAATCCTCCACCTAGCGGCACCAGCACACCGGGTTCTATTCCCGGTCGGGGCGCCAGATTCTGTCCTGGTTGCCCCTCTTCCAGGCTGCTCTGTGCTGTGGCCAGGGAAGGCAGTGGAGGATGGCCCAAGTGCTTGGGCCCTGCACCCCATGGGAGACCAGGATAAGCACCTGGCTCCTGCCTTCGCATTAGCGTGGTGCGCCAGCTGCAGCGTGCCAGCCGTGGTGGCCATTGAAGGGTGAACCAATGGCAAAAAGAAGACCTTTCTCTCTGTCTCTCTCTCTCACTATCCACTCTGCCTGTCAAAAAAAAAAAAAAAAAGAAAAGAAAGAAAGAAAGAGAAAACAATCTATAAGTCATTATTGGAACACCCAACAGGATTAGTCTACACATTGAATCCTACAGTCCAGTGTCAACAAGAGAAGTGATCTCTTAAAATCACCAGAGACAAAGAAAGATCTCCATCCTTAAAATTCACTAATAGAGTTTCATTTATGTTTCTTAGTTATTTATTGGAAAAAATAAATAGATTTCAATTAAAAATAAAATATATACATCATACATTCACTTATTATGAACCATGTGTATTTTAAAAAGTATGATGTGAATGGAATTCAAAGGCAAGTTTATTTTGGTGCATTAAAATTTGAAATTCATGAATCTGGGGGATCTTTAAAAACTCATTGAAAATGTCTGTTATGAAAATCTATACATGGATGTTAAGTGTTTTTGAATCAAAATAATCTCAATGCATTTTACATGAATTTCTTGAACTGCCATTGTACATATTGTTTTGAAATATATACACATTGTGCAATGGTTTAAAATAAAGTGGATTAACATATATATCATAATGCATTTTTTTTTATTTTTTTTTATTTTTTATTTATTTTTTTTTTTTTGACAGGCAGAGTGGACAGTGAGAGAGAGAGACAGAGAGAAAGGTCTTCCTTTGCCGTTGGTTCACCCTCCAATGGCCGCCGCGGCCGGCGCGCTGCGGCCGGCGCACCGCGCTGATCCGATGGCAGGAGCCAGGAGCCAGGTGCTTTTCCTGGCTTCCCATGGGGGGCAGGGCCCAAGCACCTGGGCCATCCCTCCACTGCACTCCCTGGCCACAGCAGAGAGCTGGCCTGGAAGAGGGGCAACTGGGACAGAATCTGGCGCCCCAAATGGGACTAGAACCTGGTGTGCCGGCGCCGCTAGGCGGAAGATTAGCCTATTGAGCCGCGGTGCCGGCCCATAATGCATATTTTTAAAAGTTAAAATTCCTTAAATTTTTCTCAAAAATTTTGGAGAAAACATTTTTAAGTATAGTCACCATGTTTCACTTTTTTCTTTATCTTCCAAATCTTTCCTTTTTATCAACTAATTATACATCTATATTTTTCTTCCCCTCATTAAAATCTTTAAATTTGCTTTTCACTTCTGCAGTTTAGTTGCTCTTTTCCTAGCTTCTGCACTGAAAGTTACCCACCATTGTTATGTTTTAAGAGCATGTATTATCTATTAGTGAGGACATTCAAATATTCTGGCTAAAGCAACCCTTGTCCTCTCCACTGGGACCTAGCACATTATTTTATTTTTTATCCAAAGCACTTCAAATATTTAAACTATTTTACACAATGCTATAATGTATACCACTTTCTTCAAATATGCTCTATGAGGGCAGAATTATGGCCACTCCAGAATGTCAAATTAATTAATAGAAAAATCCGGTACGTGAATCTCACTAGCATCAACACAAGTTGGTAATTAGCAGATAACCCCATAAAGAAAAAAAAAAACCTGACAATCAGAGCAGTTCTATTTGCTATGAAGGATTGATTTAGAAGCAACAACTCAGACGTAGCCAGCAGTATATATAGAAATGTCTAACTTAGGCTGTCTGGGAAATTTCATCTGCTTCTCTAAAAGCAATCAAGATGTGATATATTTTAAGGGACCGTAGCCCTTTTGCAGACATGGAAAGGGTAGTTGATGGGCTGTGATTACCTGGGCACACAAGTGTAAAAAATGGGTCTCTAATGGCTGGAGCACTAATTTACCAATCAATACATATGGGTTTCAGAACTGGAGACACATGCGACCTGTGATGGAAACAGGGGTTGGAAGCACATGAAGGAATAAAGAGGATGCTGTAAACCAGTGCTTAGAGATCGTTTATAACCTTAAATGATTATGTTAGGATAAAACACTGGAAATCAATCACTACAGCTTCCTTGTTAATTATAAACAAAAAAAAATCAGAGTATTGAAGAAAAGAAAAAAGAGAACAGCAGACATGTATGAAATGCTATAAAATGTACCACAAATAAACAAGGACACAATGACTTTTTTAAAAAAATGTTAACAAAGTTAACAAACCATTAGGAAAAATCAATTAAGGAACCAATGGGGAAAGTAACACAAATAACCAGTTTAGGAATTAAAACAGAATCATTCTTTTGTAGAGATAATAGCTTTGACCAAGATACTAGAGAAAGATACGAAATTCTTAGGAGTAAAATTTGACTACAGAGATCAATATCCACCCTATTTTGAAAATCAGGTTTCCAAAAAACAAACATAACATAAAATAGAAAAACTCCTATATAACCCAAGTAATTGAATCACATTTTGAAAACTCCAGAAAGTCACACAATGACACTTTCAGGTCCAGAATTTGACAATACTTCAAAATTTTACAGAAGAAAAACAAATTTACATTTCAAAGACCTACCCAAAGAGAAAATAAGCAAAGCTTATTTTTCAGTTTCTTTTGGAAAACCACCATTACAGTGAGGATGGTGCAAGCAGGCCAGGACTTGAAATTAAAAAAGGGGGCTGGCGCTGTGGCACAGAGGGTTAAAATCCTGGCCTGAAGCACCAGAATCCCATATGGACACTGATTCTAGTCCTGTCTGCTCCTTTTCTGATCTTGCTCTCTGCTATGGCCCGGGAAAAGCAGTAAAAGATGGCCCAAGTTCTTGGGCCCCTGCACCCATGTGAGAGGCCTAGAAGAAGCTCCTGGCTCCTGGCTTTGGATCAGTGCAGCTCCGGCTGTTGCAGCCATCTGGGGAGTGAATCAGTGGATGGAAGACCTTTCTCTCTGTTTCTACCTCTCCCTGTAACTCTGTCTTTCAAATATATAAAATAAATCTTTTAAAAAAAGAAATTAAAAAAATTAAGTTTGGATCAAGATGTGAAATAAAAATTAAGTTTTATTAAAAGCATCTCTTTCATAAATAGAGCTACTAGTATCCTAAGCAAAATATTCATGTAATAAATGAAATCATCTAAGAAAATATATCAATAGGAAGCAGGAACATAATAAAAAATGCACAGACAAGCCATCCAGGCAGGTAAAAAACACAAGAAGAAAATCCTATGGTCATTTAGATTCCATGTTGGAAAGCATTTAGCAAAGTTCAGCAGCTAGGAAAAAGAAAACTGCTAGCAGAGCAACAACAAAAAAGGCAGTGACTTATTTACTGTGACTAAGAGTGAAATGAACCTACAATAAACGACGCAAATAATAAAGGGTCATTGAAAGCTTTTTTTTCCTTACAGTAAACCTAGGCCATGATTCCTTCACTATCTCTCAGACTTTCTACTACAGGTGTAATAAAGGAAATAAAACAGCAAAAAGTAATTATATGGTATAAAAATCAATTCATAAGTCATAAAATGTGAATATACTGGATGATGCTTATATATGGAGATAATCCATAAAAATGTAAAAACTAATAAATGAGATTACTGGAAGGATTATATATACATGTGTGTGTGTGTGTGTTCTACTAATTACTAAGTACTAGCAAGAAACAGAAAATAATAATAAAGGACAACAGGCAGACTACAAAAAAAAAAAAAAACAAGTGAAATTGGAGAAAAGGATTAAATTTTGTGATATCCTTAAATATTCTTTAAATCAATACTTAAAAAACCACAGATGATTCAACAGAAAAAAGTGTCACATAGATGATGAAAAAGGCTCTGAAGCCAATAAACAGCCATTAAATGGTAACTGACCTGAATTAGATTACTGCAACCTCCAAGTAGGATCCTCTCAGGAAGATGCAGGTGGGGGCCCAGCAGTGAGCAGGACCAGAGAGAAAACTCCCACCCCTCCCTGCAGGAAGGGTGGCGCACAAGAGGACGGAGTTTCAGAAATGAACCCAAGACTCCTTCTTGTTTCTGCCGTCCAGCAAGACCTGGAGTTATGCATCAGCGTTATGGAGCACGCTGATTGGCTGCATCTTTTATGATGTTGTGTGTCCTCACAGCTATGCAAGCTGTCCAATCAGGCGTGGTAGCATAAACGCTACGTAATCCTGCAGAATCTTGACGCCATAGTAGTCAACCAGTTCCGTGGTGGAGAGGCCCTAGGAGGGGCTCCAACACTCGGAACTCTGAATGTAGCCCACGTCCATTGTTCTCATACCTTCTTCCATCGCTGGAAGCTGCTCACCTTGGACCTCGGGACATGGTGTGTGGGGCCGAGCTTGAGGAGAGGGGAAGGCAGAGTGGGGAAGTTGTTAGAAAAGTCTGGCAGGATGTGGGCTTCCCAGAGGTTGTCGCTAGAGCCTGTAGGCCCCCTCTCATTGCTGACAGGACCCTTCACTCAACCCCTTCTGGTCTGCAGGATGGACTGGCACCCGGGACCCGGGCACCCTGTTCCTTTCCTGCTCACAGTCCAGGGGCCATCCCTGGGCAGCTGTTGGTGGCATCCCTTTGTCTTCCCCTATTGTGCAGTGGGGACAGGATGGCCATTATGGAGCATACGGGTTGTGTGCTGGGTTCCTGCAGCGAAGAGCTGTCATTTACAGGATCCTCAGTTCCTCTCTTCTCCCCGGGGTGACCGGATTCCCCAAGTTTTCTGAATAGTTCAGAAGCTGAGTCTCAGCTCGTGGACCCTGACTTTTCAGCGTAGCTCTTTCTGGGAGTCTGACCACGTTTTCTGTTGGTAACAACAGTGTCACAGACCAGGTAAGTTAATGAAACAGTTTTATTTTGATCAGGGCTTTGGTCTAGGTTTTAGGGGGGACAAGAGGACGCTGTATTTTGATCTTGGATGTCATCTGAGCCTTTACATGTTCCTTTTACAGGCTGTCATCTGTCTCTGAACTTTAAAATAAGAACTTTTAGCTAGTCACATTAAATATCAATGTTTTTAAAACTGTTTCTGTTCCATGACAACCTTCACAACTCCAAAGATATAAACCTAGTTTCTTTAGTTTTAATTTTTATTTTGATATAGGGTGATTGCTTTCAAAGTTATTGGCGTATAATTGACAAACAAAATTTGTATATATTCAAGGCCTGCAACTTGATGTTTTGATATGTGAAGAGACTTTTTAAAAATTTATGGAAATTTCACTATTTAATCCTGCTTTTCACAAACGTTTTGGAGTTCCCTTGTACATATACATTCTGAAATGATTAGGACAAACTAATATATCCATCACCTTGCATAGTTTTTTTTTTATTTTTTTTAATTTATTTCTTTTTTAAATTTTTTTTTTGACAGGCAGAGTGGACAGTGAGAGAGAGAGACAGAGAGAAAGGTCTTCCTTTGCCGTTGGTTCACCCTCCAATGGCCGTCGCGGCCGGCGCGCTGCGGCCAGCGCACCGCGCTGATCTGATGGCAGGAGCCAGGAGCCAGGTGCTTTTCCTGGTCTCCCATGGGGTGCAGGGCCCAAGGACTTGGGCCATCCTCCACTGCACTCCCAGGCCACAGCAGAGAGCTGGCCTGGAAGAGGGGCAACCAGGACAGAATCCGGCGCCCCAACTGGGACTAGAACCCGGTGTGCCGGCGCCGCTAGGCGGAGGATTAGCCTAGTGAGCCGCGGCGCCGGCCCACCTTGCATAGTTTTGAAAAGAAAACCTAATGCCTTAACAAGTTGTGAGTATCTAATTGTATATTCATAACATTTCTGGGCTGTACATTATCTCCTAACAGTAAATGTGTGTCGTTCAACTAACATCTTCCCAATTCCTTCACTCTCAGCACCTAGCAACCACTATTCTCTTCTTCAGTTTGACTCTCTGAGATTCCATAAATAAGGGAGATTGTGTGGTATTTATCTTTCTGTGACATTTCAATCAGCCTGATGTCCATATTCATACTTTTCAATCCAGATTGTGCCAAATGTCAGAATTTCCTTGTTAAGTTTAAATGTGATTCCATTGTGTGTGTATGGCATTTTCTCTATTCATCTTTCATAGACAATGTTTATTTATATATCTTGTTCTTGTGAATAGTGCTCACATGAACATGGTTGTGCCAATGTATCTTTGAGATAATAATTTTATTTCTTTAGACGCACATCCAATAGTGGGAATGCTTTGCCATTTGTTAGTTCCACTTTTAATTTTATTTGAGACACCTCCATAGTGGATGTACTAATTTGCATTTCTAGAAATGATTTATATATTGCCTTTTCTCCAAAGCTGGTTCAATATTTATGTTCTTTACTTTTTTATAATAGCTATTTTTACATATGTGTCATAACCATTGTGGTCTTAATTAGCAGTGCTGAGCCCCTTTTCAAATGCCTGTTAGCTGCTTATGGAAAAACTGATCAGATCCTTTGCCCATTTTTTATTGCAATATTTCCTTTTGAATTGTGTCTGTTCTTTATATTAATCCTTTAATCAGCTATGATTTGCCAGTATTTTCTCTCATTCCTTGCTTCACTTTTCAGCTTTTCCTTTAGTAAGCAGATTTTTAAAAAAATTTTTTTTGCAGTCCTACTTACTTATTTTTGCTTTTGTCACTTGGACATTTGGTGTCATACCTATCATCATTATAAAAGTCTGGCAAAGCCACAGTTGTAGACATTGGTGAAGTGAGTCAGTGGATGGGAATGTCCTCTCTCTCTCTTGCCCCCCCCCCCATTTATTTCTCTGTGTGTCTCTTTTTCTTTGAAACTAATTAATTCAGAAATTCTTTAAAAACTTCATGGAGTAATTGGTACCAAATCAGAGTGAGATGATAGTGAGTTCCTTATGTTACATAGCATTGCAGGTGACTATAGTCCACAGTAATCTATCCCGTATTTTATGAACAAATAGAGGAAATGTGCCCCAAGGCCCTGATTTTGAAGTATAATGTCAGAGAAGGGAAAATGTTGTTTACACTAATTTATTCAGTACACATTGTACACATAAATTAAAATCTCACACTGCAGTCCATAGGTATGTATAACTATTGTCAACAACAACAACAAAAAACTCAGAACATCATTCTTGGTGTATAACATTAAGGGGTATTAAAATACTTAAACTGGTATCACAACTAAAATTATGATCTAACATAATCTAGAAATATGTGAATTGGCATATTTTTTAAAGATTTATTTTATATATTTGAAAGAGTTATACAGAGAGGTAGAGACAGAGAGAGAGGTCTTCCATCCACTGTTTCACTCCCAGGATGGCTGTAACAGCCAGAGCTAAGCTGATCCAAAGCCAGGAGCCAGGAGCTTCTTCCTGGTCTCCCACATGGGTGCAGGGGCCCAAGGACTTGGACCATATTCCATGCTATTCTAGGCCATAGCAGAGAGCTGGATTGGAAGTGGAGCAGCTGGGACTAGAGCTGGCACCCATATGGGATGCCAGCACTTCAGGTCAGTGTTTTAACCCGCTGCACCACAGAATTGGCCCTGGAAGCATATAGTTTTGCAATATTAAAATATCTTACTGAAATCAATAAAAATTGTATGTTATTTTTTGTAATTTTTTAGTATAAAATTCAAGGTTTTTTCTTAAATTTCTTGTGGTATTTTCACTCTTTGATGCTGAATGTTATTGTTAATTATATTTTTAGAATGTTCATCACTGTTAAACAGAAATACAGTTGATACTTACATCTTTATATTCTACAAAAATACTGAATTTTACTGTATTTTTGGAGTGGGATTTTAGTGACTTCCTCAGGATATATTTTATATACAAGACTATGTGTTGAGTGTTACAAATCAACTTTGCTTTTTTTTTTTTTTTTTTTTTTTTTTTTTTTTATCTTTTATTTAATGAATATAAATTTCCAAAGTACGACTCATGGGTTACAATGGCTTCCCCTCCCATACCGTCCCTCCCACCAACAACCCTCCCCTTTCCCACTCCCTCTCCCCTTCCATTCACATCAAGATTCATTTTCGATTATCTTAATATACAGAAGATCAGCTTAGTATACCTTAAGTAAGTATTTCAACAGTTTGCTCCCACACAGAAACATAAAGTGAAAAATAATAGATGATTTTTTTTAAATGATGATGAAATCAGATCAGACCTATTGTCATGTTTAATCCCAGTGAGAGTCAAGTTGGGAATTGAAAATTTCTTTCTTTTTTTTTTTTTTTTTTTTTTTACAGAAGATCAGTTTAGTGTACTCTTTTGTTTGCAATCTGGAGTTTCATTTTTTGCTTTGTTCATCTTTTTTAGTAGAATCATCCACTACACTGTTGAATAGAAGTGTTAAAAGTAGCAGTCTTATTCCCATTTTATAAGAGTTTATTGTAAATTTCCCATAGGTGCCCTTCCTGTAGTGGAAATTCACCTCAGTTAATAGTTTATTTAGGGTTGTAATCATAAATTGAATTTAGTCAATTTTTTCTCTATTGATGAGGTTATCAAATCTTGATTTTGTGATTATTACATTAAATATTTGCCCTTAATATTTTTATTTTTTAATTTGAGAGGCAGAGAGAGCTAGAGCCCCTATCTTCTGGTTCACTCTACATGTGTCTGCAATGACAGGTCTGGACTGGAAACAAAATCCTGGCCTCTAATGTGGGTGACAGGATCCCAGTTACATGTCCCATCACCACAGCTTCCCACATTTTCCATTGGCAGGAAGCTGGATTCAGAAGCCAGAGGTGAGAGTTGAACATAAACACTGTAGTATGCAATGCAGATATCTTACCCAGACTCTCAACTGAGACCAAATCCGTGCTGGTATGTCTGGTTTTCTTCAAATATCACACTGTTTACACTACTTTTGTTTTTGAATTAAGAGAATGGGAGGCCTTTAACTTTGATCTTATGTTCAAGAATATTTGGGTATTTAAATACTTTGACATTCCATATTAATTTTCTGTATAGTTTTTAAATTTTTGAGTAAAAATAACTATTGGGATATTATGAAGAATGATTTGAATCTATAGATCACTAGGAACATTGATTTATTATATATATGTATTATAATCCATGAACAGAGTATACACATACATTTATTTGTGTGATCTTTAATTCATTTCAATAATCCTTTATAGTTTTCAATGTTTAGGTATTTTTATTTCCTTGGTTAAGTTTATTCCTAAGTATTTTATTACCTTTGGTGCTTTTTGAAATTGAATTGTTCTCTTTATTGCTTTTAGTTATTTATTTTCAATTTTTTATTTATATAAGGTGAACAAATTTCATGTGTTTCTTATATTCAGATTTAGGAACATAGTGATACTTCCTACCCTACCCCCTCCCCTGCCCAGGCTCCCAACCTTTCTCCCTCCTTTATTATGATTTTACTTTTAATTTTTACAAGACATACTTTAAGTTTATGTTATAATCATGTTTGACCCTCCACAAAGTGAAGGATTCAACAAATAGAAAGTAGAAGAAAACCACTGTTCTTCAAAGAGTAAAGAAAATGTTATAAGCAATAATCTCAAAATGTAAATTTTGCTCCTACACATTACAACTTTTATACTCCGTATATTAGTAACATGTATTAAGGAAAATACACAATATTTGTATTTTTTGAGACTCACTTATTTCATTAAGCATGGTGGATTCCAGTTGCACCCATTTTATTGCAAAAGACAGAATTCCATTCTTTTTTGTGGCTGAGTAGTATTCCATAGTGCATAGATACCATATTTTTTATCCAGTCATTACTTGATTGACATCTGGGTTGATTCCATATCTTAGTTATGAATTGAACTGTAATAAACATGGTCATACAGATAGCTTTAATATGACAATTTAACTTCTTTTGGGTACATTCACAGTGTGGGATGGCTAGGTCATATTGTAGATATACTGTCAGATTTCAGAGGAATCTCTATTTTGCCTGTAGTAAAGGTTGCGCTAGTTTACATTCCCACCAAAAGTGTACTAGGGAAATTTTCCCCCTACATCCTCACCAGCATTTATTGCTTCATATTTTTTTTTTTTTTTTGTATGAGAGCCATTCTAACTCTGGTAAGGTGTAACCTCATTGTGGTTTTTATTTGCATTTCCTGGCCAAGAGCCAGGAGCTTCTTCTGGGTCTCCCACATGGGTGCAGGGGCCCAAGGACTTGTGCCATCTTCTACTGCTATCCCAGGCCATAGCAGAGAGCTGCTTCAGAAGTGGAGCAGCTGGGACTCGAACTGGTGCCCATATGGGATGACAGCACTTCAGGCCAGAGTTTTAACTGCTGTGCCACAGATCAGCACAGCTTCAGCCATTGCAGCCATCTGGAGAGTGAACCATCGAATGAAAGATCTCTCTCTGTTTCTACCTCTCTCTAACTCTGTCTTTCAAATAAATAAAATAAAGCTTAAAAAAAGAATAACTTTAAAAAAATTGTACAGTTATCTCAATAGATGCAGAAACCATTTGATAAAATACAATACTCTCTCATGATAAATAAATAATTTTCATTCTTCTATTTGTTATTGTGATGTGTCACATTTGTTAATTTGCATATGTTGAACCATTCCTGCATATCAAGGATACCACTTGGTCCAAGTGAACACTCATATTTTGTTCATCTGTGGTACTGGTTTATAATTCTCTTTGTTGTATGTTTTTCTGGTTTTCAAATTAAGGTTATGCTGGTCTCATAGAAGGATTTTGGGAGAATTTCCTCCATCTCAGTTGTTTGAAATAGATTGAGAGGAATTTGAATTAGTTTTTCTGTATGAGATTGGTAGAGCTCAGCGTGTAACCATCCACTCCTGGGCTTTTTTCTATGTGGGGAGGGTCTTTTTTCTTGTTCAGTCTCCATCTTGCTTATTGTTTTGTTTAGGTTTTCAGTGTCTTCATACATCAATGTTTGGTAGTTTGTACTTATCTAGGAATGTATCAATTTCTTCTAAATTTTCCTATTTGTTGGCAGATAGCTTTTTTTTCACAATTTCTGATGAATTTTATTTCTGTGGTGTCTGTTTAACATTTCCTTTTTTATTTCTGAATTTATTAATGTGTGTCATCTCCCCTCTACCTCTTTTTTTTTTTTTTTGATTAGTTAGGTCTGTGGTGTATCAATGTTAATTTTTTCAAAAGTATTGCTCATTTCACTGATCTTTTGTTTCTTTTTTGTTTCAATTTTATTTCTCCTTTAATTTTAAGAACTTCTTTCCTCATATTAATTTGTGATTTGATTTATTGCTTTTCTAGGTTTTGAATGGACTGTTAGATCATTTGTTTGATCCTTTTCCAATTTTGAGGTAAGCACTAATTGCTATAAACTTAACTCTCAGAATTGCTTTTTCTGTATATAAGTTTTGATATATATGTTGTCATTTTCATTTCTTTCCTGTAATTTTTTGATTTACTTTTTGATTTCTTCTGTGATCCACTGTTCTTTCAGGAGCAGGCTGTTCAGACTCCACGTGTTTGCATGCTTTCTAGAGTTTCTTCTGTTCTTAATTTTCAGATTCATTCCATTGTGGTCAGAAAAGATACATGGTATGATTTCATTTTCTTTTAATTTGCTGAGATTTGCTTTATGGCCTAACATATGATTTGTCCTAGAAGAAGTTCCATGCACTAGTGATAAGAATGTGTATTCTGCAACTATGGGATGAAATGTTCTGTATATGTCGCTTCTGTCATTTTGGTTCATAGTGTAGATTAGCTGTGTTCTTTGATTTTTCTTTGTCTAGTTGTCCTGTGTATTGATGAATCTGTGATATTACTGTCGCCCATTACTGCTGTATTGAAGTTGATGTTTCTGTTTAGATTCATTAACCATTGTTTTAAATAATCAGGCACTGGGGTTGGCACTGTGGCAAAACAGGTAAAGCATTCCATGTGGGCACTGCTTTGAGAACTCACTGTTCCACTTCTGATCCAGTTCTCTGCTGGGGCCTTGGAAAGCAGTAGAAGATGGCCCAAGTCATTGGGCCCCTGCATCCATGTGGGAGACCCAGAAGAAGCTCCTGCCTCCTGGCTTCTGATTGGCTCAGCTTTGGCCACTGTGGCCATTTGAAGAGTGAACCAGCAAATGGAAGACCTATCTCTATCTATTTCCACCCCCCGCCTCCTTCTCAGCCTCTGCCTCTCTGTAGCTCTGCTTTTCAAATAAATAAATGAATCTTAAAAAAATGTAAAACAATCATGCACCTGGCATTGAGTACATATATATTTACCATAGTTACATCTTTCTGTTGGATTGATCCCTTCATTAATACATAATGCCTTTCTTTGTCTTGTTTAATAGTTTTTGTTTTAAAGTCTGTTTTGCATGATATTATCATGTCTAATATTTCTCTTTTTCACTTTTTGTTAGCATGGAATATCATTTTCTATCCTTTAACTTTCAAAGTCTGTATGTATCTTTGTGGCAGAGATATGTTTATTATAGGCAGTAAAAGAGGGGTCTTGTGGTTTTTTTTTTTAAGAAAGTAATTTGATTTTATTTATCTTTTTAAAAATCTCTAAGCCTTAAGACATTTTATGAAAAGCAACATAACTTTTGCTTCCTTGTATGGAAATTCTGCCCGTTAAAGTAAAACAAATGCTCCCTTAGGGCAAAACCCACCTACTCAAAGCCCTTGTTGGAGCAAACATTTAACTTCTTTTTTTTTTTCTTTTTTTTTTAACTTTTATTTAATGAATATAAATTTCCAAAGTATGGCTTATGGATTACAATGGCTTCCCCCCCATAACGTCCCTCCCACCCGCAACCCTCCCCTTTCCCACTCCCTCTCCCCTTCCATTCACATCAAGATTCATTTTCGATTCTCTTTATATACAGAAGATCAGTTTAGCATACATTAAGTAAAGATTTCAACAGTTTGCTCCCACACAGAAACATAAAGTGAAAAATAATAGATGATTTTTTAAATGATGATGAAATCAGATCAGACCTATTGTCATGTTTAATCCCAGTGAGAGTCAAGTTTGGAATTGATAATTTCTTCTTCTTCTTTTTTTTTTTTTTTACAGAAGATCAGTTTAGTATACATTAAGTAAAGATTTCAACAGTTTGCACCCCCATAGAACACAAAGTGAAATATACTCTTTGAGTACTCATTATAGCATTAAGTCTCAATGTACAGCACATTAAGGACAGAGATCCTACATGAGGAGTAAGTGTACAGTGACTCCTGTTGTTGACTTTACAAATTGACACCCCTGTTTATGGCATCAGTAATCTCCCTATGCACCAGTCATGACTGGGTCTTGTGTTTTAATACATTCAGCTAGTCTGTATCTTTTTTTAAAGATTTAGCCATCCATTTGAGAGTTACACAGAGAAAGAATATAACAAGAGTTATAACAAGAGTTATAACAAGAGTTGTAACTCAGAGTTACACAGAGAGAGAAGGAGAGGCAGAGAGAGAGAGAGAGAGAGAGAGAGAGAGAGAGAGGTCTTTCATCTGCTGGTTCACTCCCCAATTGGCCGCAATGGCTGGAGCTGTGCCAATCTGAACCCGGGAGCCAGGAGCTTCTTACAGGTGCAGGGGCCCAAGGACTTGGGCCATTTTCTACTGCTTTCTCAGGCCATAGCAGAGAGCTGGATTGGAAGGGGAGCAGCTGGGACTTGAACCAGTGCCCACATGGGATGCCAGCAATGCAGGCAGTGGCTTTATCTGCTACATCACAGTGCCAGCCCCTTGATTTATTTTATTGTTTTTCTTTTGGGAACTTCATGATTTTAAGAGTGAGTTAATCTTACTCCTAATTGTGATGCATGCTCACCATTTATCTACACCATATATTTAATTACTAACAGTTTTTATTGGGCATAACTAGTTTACAAAAGTCTCACACACTAACATGACATGCAAGAAGTTGTAGCTCATAATGATTATTAATACAGGACTGAGTTTCACCTGAAATATCAAATGAAGCTAAGTTAGTTTCTCCAAACTCCTTCACTCTGTATTTTGCTGTCACTTGCTGCTATTCAGAGGTATTAGATTGTGACCTGTATGTTCCTGCTATTTTTCTGTGCAAGGGTATAGGAGTCAGTGCTGTATCATGAGAACATTACTCTTTATCTCTAAATGGATTTAAGCAAGTAACACTCACTCAGGCTGTGTGCTTCAATGTGGCACCATATAATAACAGATGCATAGTGATAATTGTATGTAATATTTCTTTTTAAAAAAAAAACATTTATTTGAAAGTCACAGTTACACTCAGAGAGAAGGAGAGGCAGAGAGAAAGAGAGAGAGGTCTTTCATCCACTGCTTCACTCCCCAACTGGCCTCAATGAACCAGAGCTGTGCCAATCTGAACCCAGAAGTCAGGAGCTTCTTCCAGGTCTCCAATGTGGGTGCAGGGGCCCAAGGACTTGGGCCATTTTCTACTGCTTTCCCAGGCCATAGCAGAGAGATGGACCAGAAGTGAGCAGCCGGGTCTCAAACCAGTGCCCATATGGGGTGCTGGCACTGCAGGCTGTGACTATGCCACAGTGCCAGAACCTATATTTCATAAGAAGGTATTTCAAAAGGTTCATGGGAAATACACATTATCATTTAATTTTATAACCATGAAATTTTGAATGCTTTTATATAAAACATAGTTAAAGAACTAAAAATCATTAGGATTATAGTATGTATATTAATTCCACAGAAGAGAAAAATCTACCCAACCTGGACCTCCATATCTGTTCAAGCTGATGTACTAAGATTTTTAAATTGGCATAATTGAAAATGTTAGAGGTTCCCAAAACAAATGTACATATTTTTAATCTATTTGATTGTAAGTAGAATATGCAACTTATTTTGTATTATTTTTAAAATAAAATTGAGGGCCAGCACTGCGGAAATAGTGAGTAAAGCCAACAACTGTGGTGCTGGCACCCCATACGGCCACCAGTTCAATTCCTAGATGGTACAAGTATTTGGGGTCCTGCACCTTTGTGGGCATCCCAGAAGGAGCTCCTGGCTTCTGGATTTCGATCAGCCCAGCCCTGGCCATTGTGGCCATTTGGGATGTGAACCAACAAATGGAAGGTCTTTCATCTCTCGCTCTCTCTCTCTCTCTCCCCCTCTCTCCTTCTCTATCTCTCTATCTCTGTATCTTTCTATATCTCTATCTCTAATGCTATCTCTATAATTCTTTCAAATAAATAAAAAAATCTTTATGATATGGGTTTAAATGTTTTCAACTACAATACAGAAGAATAAAATGCTTTTGAAGAAACACTAAATAACTCATTTTAACATTGGATAAAGTCACCTATTTTTTTCTCTTTTTAAAAATGTATTGTACTCATTTGAAAGGCAGATTTATAAGGATAGAGAAACAGAGTCGAAGAGACTTTCCATCTGCTGCTTCACTCCCCAAATGGATGCAATGGCCAGAGCTGGGTAAAACCAAAGCCAGGAGAAAGAAGCTTCATCCTGGTCTTCCATGTGGGTGGCAGGGACCCAATCATGTGTGTCGTTTCAGCTGCTTTCCCAGGCCATTGGCTGTGAGCTGGATAGGAAGTGGAGCATCCAGGACTTGAACAGCTACCCATATAGGATGCCAGCATTGCAGATAGGACATAGCCTCCTCAGCCACATTGATGACCTCCTAAAATCACCTATTTCTAAAGAGTTTATTTTTATTTATATTCTTTTTATAAAAGACTTATTTGTTTATTTCAAAGCCAAAGTTACAGAGAAGAGGGAAAGACAGATCTTCCATCAGCTGGTTCACTATCCAAGTGGCTGCAAATGCAGGGGTTGAGTTAGGTCAAAGCCAGGAGCTTCTTCCAGGCCTCCCATGTGGATGAAGGAGTCCAAGCACTTGGCCAATTCTCTGATGTTTCCCAGGCCATTATCAGGGAGCTGGATCAGAAGTGTAGCAGCCAGAACTTGAACTGGCACCCATATAGGACTTCATTCTCACAAATGGTGGCTTAAATGGTAGCCCCTTGTTATATTCTTTTTTTTTTTTTTTTTTTTTTTGACAGGCAGAGTTAAACAGTGAGAAAGGTCTTCCTTCCATTGGTTCACTCACCAAATGGCCACCACAGCCAGCATGCTGCACTGATCCAAAGGCAGGAGCCAGGTGCTTCCTCCTGGTCTCCCATGCAGGTGCAGGGCCCAAGCACCTGGGCCATCCTCCACTGCCCTCCCGGAGCACAGCAGAGAGCTGGCCTGGAAGAGGGGCAACTGGGACAGAATCCTGCACCCCAACTGAGACTAGAACCTGGAGTGCCAGTGCCACAGGTGGAGGATTAGCCTAGTGAGCCACAGTGCTGACCCCTTATATTCTTTATAAAATTACTTTTAAAAGTCTTATTCTAAATAAACAAAAGATATCCCTATTATTTACCAAGATTATTGTGCAATTTATTAATTGTCTGTATTTACAAGTCAAACTAACACCAGGATTTATTAAAAAAATCGAAATGGGGGGCATTGCTATGATGCAACAGGTTAAATCCCTAGCCTGCAGCACTGACATCCCATATGGACACCAGTTTGATTCTTGGCAGCTCCTCTTTTGATACAGCTTTCTGC